CCTTTTCTATGAGATATCACAAAACTCAAGCACAGAAGCGGGGAGGGAGAGAAAGAAGGGGAGGTCAGTATTTCGTGAATTATTATTTTTCTAGGAAGATGAGTGATTGCTAGATATGCAGGGATCCTGAAGTCCAGGTGAATCAGATCTGAAACAAGCAATTTCTATATCTCTTTGAACTCCATGTCAAATGGTATAGCATGGCCATTAGATATAAGTACTAGCTGTGCACTTTCCAGAAACAGAAACATACCAGGTAAAAATTAAATTTAACGCAAGAAAGGATGCTAAAATGAGTTAAGCAAAAGAATAATCTGGCCTTTAAAATAAAAGCTTGATAGTAGCTTTATACTGATATTGATCCTCATAATTCAGTATTACTCAGGACAGTCTTTGCCCATGCCTCCAAACAAGCACCAAGAGGAAGAACAACCTAATACTTTCAGAAGTACTGTATGTGAATATGGAGGCTGCAGGGGAGGGGAGAGAAGAAGGCGGAGAAAGAGAACCAGAATGGGAGAAATCTACAGGAAAGATGAAAAAAAACCACACTAACCCCAAAGGGTGAGATGTACTATAACAGTACTGAACAGCAGGGCTGTGTGAAGCTTCAGTCCCTGATGCGATTCCCCTTCTCCTTCTACCCACAGAGTACAGAGCCACAGAGGATCTGGTCAGCCTCTTACCAAGACTTATCAATTTCTAACTGCATACATGGGCAAAGGGCAACCTGTTCCTTTATGTCCTCCCTGGTGTGCAGTAGGGCTGTGCGAAGCTTTGGTCCCTGATTTGATTTGGTGGAGATTTGGCCTGATTCGGTGGCTGAATCTCCAAGTCTGAATCAAAGCAGAGGACTCTTCACAGATTTCATAGACATTAACGCTGGAAGGGACCTCAGAAGATCATCGAGTCCAGCCTCCCACCCGAAGGGTGGGAAGTCAGCTGGGGTCATAGGATCCCAGCAAGAGAAGCATTCAATTTGCTCTTGAAGGCGTTCAATATAGGTGCTTGAACCACCTCCGATGGCAGGCTGTTCCAGACCTTGGGGGCTCAGACAGTAAAGAAATTCTTCCTTATAAACTACTGCGAGACCGTTTCAGGCTGGACATAACTGTTTGACCTCGTCATCCCTTGGAGCGCTCTGGTGAACAAATGTTCCCCCAGATCCTGGTGGTCACTCCTCATAAACTTATAGGTGGCCATCAGATCGCCCCTGAGCCTGCGCTTTTTTAGGCTAAAGACCCCCATGGCTCTCAGCCTGTCGTCGTAAGGTCCGTTTTCTTTAGCCTCTCCAAATCGAATCGGAACCCTCCAATCAAATTGGAACCCTCTGAATCTATTCAGATTTGGCGATTCAGACATAGACACAGCTTTAAATGTTTTTTTTACATATCTCTAGGTAGCAGGCAGCTTGTGTGTGCTGTGATGCATGAAGTGTTCCACAGAAGCGTGGGGGGCTCTCCAGTGTGCTTGGCACCAGACCCAGAAGTAGATGAGAAGCACTTCCGTTCTACTTCCAGGTTTACTAGAGAGGTGCCTACTGGGTCTGTGGGGGATGGGGGCACCTAGGGTCCCCCCACAGCCGATCACTGAGCCAGAGAGGTACGGGAGAGGGGGCCTCCCAGCCTGCTCCTGGGTGGATCCGAAAGTGGACTGGAAGTACTTCCAGTCCACTTCTGAGTTCACTGCTGAGCATGTGGAGGGCCCACCCGCACTTCTGTGGGACACTACATCCACCCCAGCATCACAGCGTTCATGAGCCACACTGGTACCTTGAGGTATGTAGAAAAAACATTTAAAGCTCTGTCTATGTCCAAATCGCTGATTCTCTGAATCAGCACTGAATCTTCAGATTCAGCTGAACTGAATCAGGAACAGCGATCCAAATCAGTGTCTCTGATTTGGGCCGAATCCGAAATTGAATAGGGCCCTCTTTGCACATCCCTAGAAACAGGTAGCTCTGTAAGACTGCACTAATAAGTGTCTTGCTTTGGCCCAGTAGGCTCTGCACCAAGAATCGCAGGCAAGCAGGCCTGGAAGCAACACTGTGTGGTTATGAAGCAAGGCCAGAAGAGAAAAACCCCACAAAAACAAAACAACACACTAAATGCACAGTGTTGAGAGAGAGAGAGAGAGATCCCTATAGACACCTACCCACCTATTTCTATAGACGCCCATTCCTACAGACACCTACCCAACCATATATCCATTCCTCCCTACCCATGGACACTCACTCACCCACCCACCACTCCCCACCCATCTATATCTGGTCTGTCTTTATTTTATTTTATTATATAATGGTGGAATAGGGAGGTTTTTCCAACAACTGTGGAATTAGGTACCAAGTGAGCATTATATATATATAATAATAATAATATATATAATGCTCACTTGGTACCTAATTCCACAGTTGTTGGAAAAACTTCCCTAATTCCACAGTTCCCTAAACAGGTGTATTTTTTTCTGTAGTATACAGTATACACTAGCATCTGTTCACTTTCAGTTTTGGTTATTTTGTTATACAAGAAGACTTATATTGTGAGTGGCATGGAAATACCGTTGGCCACATTATTATACTTTTTTTAGGTGTCCTGGATAAGAGGCTTTTCTTTCATACCTGGCTAACAGGACCACTTTGACTGAATGCCCTGTATCTATATAATCTCAAATTAAACTGTCCGTGTCAATTGCTGCTATAGCTCAATTTTCCCCTTTTTCTTTTTATATTCTCCACTATAATTAAAGACAGGAAATATCCAGGTCTAGGTTTGGCATGGATCTTAAACCAGACTCCGCTGAAGACAGGGGAGCCAAATTTCTTGTCTTTTACTTTCCCACTCAACCTACTTGCATGGAGGCACTAGTGA